GGGCTGAACATGTAGACATCCCTGGGTTTACTGAGCTATACCAGCCCTGGTTGCAGAAACCATTCCAATGCAGTCATCCATTCATTCAACTTGCATCTGAAGCAGAAAAACTAAGACAATTTTTCCTCTTTGGGGTAAATGATTCAGAATAGTTATATCATAAAGCAAATATTGCATGTTCTCAAAGGTCCATAAGTCTTCTCTCATACCGGATTCTATTCGGTTCAGACCAAAGAGACATAATGGTATAGCACTAACACAGTCATTAAGTGCTTAAGGTCCCTCATATGACTGAATCAGTCAACAAGTATTAAGTACCTACTAAGCACCAAGCAGTGTGCTAATGGTGGGGATTCAAAGAAAGAAAAAAAAAAGCAGCTCCTGCTCTCAAGGAACTCAGTCTAATGAGGCAGACAAGATGCAAACAACAATGTACAAATAAGAAATCTATACTAGATAAATTGGGTTTACTCTCAGAACAAAACTGCTAAGATTAGGAGAACTGGGAAAGGCTTCTTGCAAAAGGTAGGATTTTAGCTAAGACTTGAAGGAATCTAGACAATCCAGAAGACAGAGGTGAAGATGAAGAGGAAGTTTCAGGCATAAAGGACACACAGTGAAACTGCCCAGAGTCAGGAGATGGGGTGTCTTATCTTACAAAGAGCAAGGACACCAGTGTTACTGGATTGCAGAGTAAATGGTAGGAACTAAGGTTTAAGAAGACAAGCTTTTTTTCTTTTGTTGTTGTTGTTGTTGTTGTTGTTGTTGTTTGTTTTATTAAAGGTCAAGTTATAAAGAACTTTAAAAGCCAAAGAGATTTTATATTTCATCCCGGAGGAGATAGTCACCAGTGTTTATTTAAAAGAGGAGTGGCGTGGTCAGGCTTGTGCTTAAGGAAGATCAATTTGACAGCTGAGTGGAGGATAGACTAGAGTTGAAAGAAACTTAAGTCAGGGAGACCAATCAACTATTTTAATAGACCTTGCTATAAGGTGGTTAGGGCCCTGGGTAAATCACTTAACTCCTCTAGCCATCCATTTACTCATATATTAAATAAGGTGCCTGTAGTAGATTTCTGAGGCTCTTTTCACATCCTTCCAAGAGAAATTGCATCTTATCTTTGTTGTCAGTGATACATGTCCATTATATAATTATCCTAAAGCAGATGTTGCCAATGCATAGATGAAAAGACTAGCACTTATTCTCAAACTTCATACGTGAGAAAACTACATTGTTTGCTGCCAGAGATAATATTTAGAATAAGTAGAAAATCAATTATACTAGTCTCTTTCCATAAGGACAGAACTGGGCTCATTTTACAACATATAAGGCTATAGCTTGGCCCTTTCTGTGTCTTCTTTTGCTTTTTCACCAATGACTTCCTTCCATTATTCCATTCATACCATGCACAGTGTTCAAAGATCCTCTTTGCCAGATGCAGACTACTTCTGTTAGAAGCTCTGCAGTTCCAGCCTCCCTCTTGGCAACATAGAAAATCATAAAAGGCAAGAGCCCAGAAAGCCTTAAGGCTACCTCACTCCCTTCAGAAGACAAGCAAGTCAGAAGGCCAGAAAGTTAAGAGTTGGAAGGATCCTATGTTCCCATATCTAGAGCTAGAGAGCTGAAAGAGAATGAACCAGAACTTCCTCTGGCTAGTCACTTCTGACCTTATACTTTCTAGCTCCTGATGCATGTGTCCCCTCAAGGACAGCCAACTTCCATTTGTGCTAGCACAAGGCAATTCCCATCCCCTGCTGCCAGCCTGATCTCCCACCTACAATGTGGAGACCATTCCCAATGTGCAACAATCTTACCTTTGACCTTCCATCTCCTGCTACACCTGCCCCTTGAAAAAAGAACAAGAGGAAAGTCGGTGGGGAGTGGGACTTCCTATTCCTGTTGTGCAGATTTGACTTCCATCTCCTGGTGGGTCATTTCCTGCCTAATCTTCAGCCTTCAGAGGGAAAAGGAGTAGTGGAATGGGGTAAATCATCTGACCATGTGCCCCTTCTTTCTTGTGTTGTACTCCAGCCTTCTTTGGAAAGTTCTCTCTGTCATCCCCACTTTATTACTTATTATTAATCTCTCCTTCTATTACAACTCCTTCCCTATTGCCTAAAACCGCATGCATCTCCCACATGCTCAAAAAGCCCTCCCTTGACCTTTTCATCCCCACTAACTTTCACCTTGTATCTCTTCTGCTTTTTGTGGCTAAATTCCTTGAAAATATTCATCTACAATAGGTGGCTTCATTCTCTCTCCATTCACTTTCTTCTTAACTTCTTACAATCCAGCTTCTGACCTCATTATTCTACTAAAAACTATTCACTCCAAAGTTACCAATGATACTAGTTACCAAACCCAATAGCCTTTTCTCAATCCTCATTCTCCTTGACCTCTCTGCAGCCTTTGACACTGTTGATCACTCTCTCTTCCTTGACACTTTCTTTTCTCTAGGTTTTTAGGACACCAGTCTTCCTGATTCTCCTCTGACCTGTCTGACTGCTCCTTCTCAGCATCTTTTGCTGGATCCTCCCCCAGATCATACTTTCTAACTCCAAGCGTCCCTCATGTTTCTATCCTAGGCCCTCTTTTTTCTCTCTTTATACTAATTCACTTAGTGATCTCATCAGCTTCCATGAATTATCATTTCTATGCTGATGATTTACAAATCTATGTATTCTACCCCAAACTCTCTCCTGACCACCAAATCTCACATCACCAACTGCTTTTTAGATATTTCTAACTAGATGTCCAGTAGACATTTTAAACCCAGCACATCAAAAACCATACTCATTATCTTCTCCCCTAAATCCTCTGCACCTCCTAATTTCCCTAATACTGTTAAGGGTAGTTCCATTCTCCCAATCCCCAAGGCTAACAACCTCAATGACATCTTGGACTCTTTACTCTCTCTTCCATTCTATATCCAAATTGTTTCCATGCCCTGTCCATTTCACTTTTGCAACATCTTTCAGTACTCCCCTTTCTATCTTCTGACACTACCACCACTCTAGTGTAAGTTCTTATCACCTCTCACCTAGACTATTGCAATATCTGTTGTTAGTGGGTCCCCTGCCTTAAAAGACTCTCCTCACTACAATCCATCCTTAGTTCATCCTCCAAAGTCATTCTCTTTAGGTGCAGGTCTGCCCATGTTACTCCCCTACTTCAGTGACACCTAAATGCCACAAAGATCAAATACAAAATCTTCTCTTTGGCATTCAAAGCCCTTCGTAACCTAGTCTTTTCTTGCCTTCTTACACCTTGTTGCCTTCCATAGACAATTCTCAATTCAGTGAATTCAATTCAATTCATTCATTGCTGTTCCAAAAACAAGACATTCAATCTCTTGGCTCTAGGCATTTTCTCTAGCTGTCTCCCATGCCTGGAATGCTTTCTGTCCTCATCTGTAGCTACTGACATCAAGTCACAATTAAAATTCTTTAAATTCTGGTGACTCCCCTTTCTTATTTCATATTTATCTTGTAAATGAATTTTGTACATATTTGTTTGCTTGTTGTCTTCCTCATTAGTTTGTGAGCTCCTTGAGTGCAGGGACTATCTTCTTTCATTTCTTTTTGTATCCCTAGTGCTTAAAACAGTGCCTAGGACGTAGTAGGCACTTACTAAATGTTTATTGACTGTCCAACTCTTGCCTTTTATGAGGAAATGGAACCGTTGGGAACAACTAAATGATTTGCCCAATGTCACACAAATAGTAAAACATAAACATAAGGCTTCTGACTCCAGAGCCAACAGTCTTTCGTTAGGTCATCTAGTCTAACCAGACGCTGAATGCAAACATTCTCCTTACTGTCTCCGAGGTAAATCTCAAGCCTAACCCTGGTAAACATCACTGATGGAGGTCAGACACAAATCCCAGCATCTCTAAAATTCATTAACATTCATCAGTTTAGTGGGCAAAATGCAGGCTTCAGTCGGGAAAATCTAGACTCATTGCCTGCCTTTCGCAAATACTGGCCGTAAGACAATGAGCAAATCATTTAACCTCCCAGCGCCCAAGGCAACTCTCTAAACTTTGAGTTGCAGAGCGTGTAGAGATCTACATAATTAAGGAAGTTTCCTCACACAGAGTCCCTTATATGTGTCATCACAGGTAGGGAGAAAGGGGCAATGACTCCCAAAAGCTGTAGGAGCTGGTCCAAAGGCAAACAGAATCAAAATTGGTAGATTAGTATAAAGTTATGAACGCAATTGTAGCTGATTTCTCTCAGGTCTCCAAACTTGAAATGTGAATACCCTATCTATGTCTCTACCAATTACAGGCAAAAGAAAAGAAAAGAAAGAAAGGAAGAGAGACAGACAGAAAGAAAGAAAGAAAGAAAGAAAGAAAGAAAGAAAGAAAGAAAGAAAGAAAGAAAGAAAGAAAGAAAGAAAAGAAAGAAAGAAAAGAAGGAAGGAAGGAAGGAAGGAAGGAAGGAAGGAAGGAAGGAAGGAAGGAAGGAAGGAAGGAAGGAAGGAAAGAAAGAGGGGCAGCTAGGTGGCGCAGTGGATAGAGCACCGGCCCTGGAGTCAGAACGACCTGAGTTCAAATTCGGTCTCAGACCAAACACTTGACACTTGCTAGCTGTGTGACCCTGGGCAAGTCACTTAACCCCAATTGCGTGGCAAAAAAAAAAAAGAGTTGGAAAAAGAGAGGCAAAGATAGAGACAGAAAGACAGAGACAGAGACAAAGAGACGGCCAGAAACACAGAGGCGGAGATACAGAATGGATAGAGGAGATAAACAGAAACAGAGATAGAGGTAAAAAAAAAAAAAACAATTGAAAGCGAAGCTGCAAGAGCCAGAGCAAAAGCAATTTATCCGCACCTGGCAACTAGTCACGCTGGAATCCGAGAGGGGTTTCTCCAGACGCTCTAGACACTTATCTTCCCAGGAACCAATAGCAGGCTGGTCCCTGAGTCGGTTGCCATGGTCACGTTGTGTGTTTGGAGAGGGGCGGGGCGGGCAATGGAGCGGGGCGGGTCTGGGCAGGTAGGGAGGCGAGGTGGGGAGGGGCGGGGAGGTGCTGAAGAGGGGGCGATCCTGCTGGCCTGTGGACCACCACACCAGAGGGGTTCGGGTGGGAGGCTCCAGGTGACTCCGGAGAGCTCGCAGGGATATAGACCATCAAGAGACTATCAGCTCTCTCCTCACCCGGCCCGACAATGTATACTGCGACCCGGAAGAGACTGCAGAAGCTAACGGACTCCACGAGTAAAGCCTCCAAGCATTGTGAGTAGCGATGATCACAGCCCTGGCGAGCGGTGTAGACCCCGGGACAGGCAGCTGCGGACCCCAGGAGACCCTAGCTCCGTCTTCTGGGCCAGGCCCAAGGCTCAGACTATCACGCTTTCTCCTTCCCCACCCCCTTCATTCACATCAATTAGCTCCATGTACAGAAATCGTCCCGTTTTCTCTCTGACTTCTAAAATTTACCTCTCGAGGAAACTTAAAAAGTGACGGTTTGTTCCCAAGCCCTAAGATGTCTATGTGCTCCCCGGTGCATGCCCCCGATTCTTCCACTGCTGGGTCGCCAATCCCAGCAGGGCTTCCTCCTCATCATTCCTTCAATTTACACCAAAGAAAATCCTCCAAACCTTCAGAACTTGAGCTCCCTCCGTAACTCATCTCATAGGAGACCTTTATCCATATATGCCGTAAGGCTAAAAAAAATAAGGGGCAGGGGGAGAGGGAGAAATTAATGAATCTCAGCAACTGCCTTCACCTTTTAACTCCTCAGGACAGGAAACCATCTTTATAGTAAGCGTTTGAAAATAAAAAGCTGTCCTCCAGTCCCCTATCCCCTATCTCATTGCACATATGCCTAGTCTCCTGTTGGCTTGTCTGTACAATTTTTTGGGAAAAGAAAAAGAAATTCATATTCCTGCGAGATAGTTGTGGCTTCTTATAATTATCAGTGGACTAATAACTACTGTGTTCAAGAAAATTGCATAATTATCCTGTACCATGTAATATATATCCCCTCCCCTCCAAGAACAATCCAGTCCAATTCAGTAAGACTTTATTAACAGGCTATTGTGATCTAGACACTGTGCTGTCAGTGGATATAAAACTTCAAAAGTGTAAGCAAGGACATGTAGGAATAGTATGTTTATGCAACTTACATAACTATAGTTTTGGGATCAGTTATAATAATGGTTCCAAGCCAAATATATTGGGATACTATCTTTCAAACTTTTTGAGGAAGTGCTATCACCCTGCAATTCCCCCTCCCCACATTTTGGTCTGTACCCTCACTCCCAGTCCATCCTTCAAACAGCTGCCAAATTAATATCAGCAGAACATAGGTTTGACAATGTCACTATCCTGCTCAAAAATATTCAGTGGTATCCTATTACCTTCAAGAAGAAATTCAAAACTGCTCAACTTGCCACTTAAGCCATAATCTGGCTCCAACCTACTTGTTCCACTTTCCACAGATCTCTCCATCATACATTCTACATTACAAACTGGCCCACCAGTTGTTCCCCATTCCAATTCCCCATTTTTTTTTTGCCTTCTCTCAAGCTGTCCATTTTGTGATAGTGTTCAGAATCACAGGTTTTTGTGAATATTTTAATAATTTCCCTTCAAGTTTTGCTTTTATAATATTCCTTAGACATATTTATAATACAGTCATTTAATATATGTAAACATTATGAGGAATGTGCATAAATATTTTCCACTAAATATCTTGGTTGTTGTCCTTCCTTCTTGAAGAAGACCAAAATGACATCACTATGCTAGAGTCAAGTAACAGTGCACCCAACTGTGGCTGACCAGACCAATACAACCTCAGGATGTTCTATCACAGGTTGAGCACAAGTAGTCCGTGTGAACATCGTACGTCTAAAGTTTTTTTTTAATCTACTTCAAGTCCGGTATGCTCATAGTACAGCACCTTTTCTGATATGGGCACACCATGCCTAGTGGTCCTGTGCCAGTGTCTCCCATGTCACACAATCAATTCCAAAGTTCTTTTTTTTTCAATTTTTTTTGGCAATTGGGGTAAAGTGACTTGCCCAGGGTCACACAGCTAATAAGTGTCAAGTGTTTGGTCTGAGGCCAGATTTGAACTCAGGTCCTCCTGACTTCAGGGTTGGTGCTCTATCCACTGTGCCACCTAGCTGCCCCTTCCAAAGTCCTTAAGAGAGACCTTGAGAGTGTCCTTGTATCACTTCTTTTGACCACCATGTGAGTGCTTGCCCTATGTGAGCTCTCCATAAAATAGTCTTTTGGGCAAGCAAATCTTTTGCATTCAAACAGTAGATTTTGAATACTTGGCAGTTTAGTTCAAGAAAGGACTTCAAAAGTGTATGTGGAAGCAGTTTATGAAATAAGCACTCCCACTTCACCCATGTCTTATTTAAAATCTCTAGCTTCCTTCAAAGTTCTGCTCAGGTGCCACATTCTTCAAGAAGTCTGATACCTACATTCAAACCCACCACCACCACCACTACCAAGTTGTCAACACTTACATCTAATTAACTTGTATATATTGCATCTTCAGGTAGAATGCAAACTCCTTAAGGGCAAAGATTATTTTGTTTTTTAATATTCCCAGCACCTAACACACTTTTGGTGAATGGTTTTGTGCATGTTTGTTGAGATGAATTGAATACAAGAATTTCCCCTTTGGGGTGCTTGATGCAATGTTTGGGGAATTGAGTAGATTGATAGCGGTGATGCAGACATTAAATATACCTTACACGATTGTAAGAGGAAGTACACCTTGCTAGGGACAAGCTTACTTTTGATTTTGTTTACTATTTTAATATTTGTGACTGCCTGAGAAAACAGGAGCAACTGTGAACCTGGGATTACCCCTGTATTACCAAGAATAAAGGGAAAGAACAAGCGTGTTCTTTAGTGGCTGTCCTAGAGATTGTAGGATTCAGCAATTTCTAATCACTAGTATCTGATGTAATGAGTGTGATTTACTTTTTGGCTGTGGCAACAAAAGAGAACTCTTACAGGACTATACTGTAAATAAAAGTTATACTATATAGAGAACATTTTAAACTCCTTAGAACAAAGAAGCCATATACATTTAAAGTATTACTATGATTATTATAATCTTACGCTTTTTCACTTAAACATTTTTATCTCTGGAAAAAACAACTGTTCTTAAATTTTTCAATAGCTGTTTTGAATAAACATTCTGATGAAACAATACAATAGGTATTACGCAAAACACTAAATGAAACATAGTCCTTTCACAGTAGGTTTGCAATGTGTTATAAACAGACCTCATGATGCAAACAAGTGAGGGAAAGGGGTACAATTTTCAAAGGGCTGGTGGTAACAACAACAAAAAGTTATTAAACTTTTTTGCCATCTTGTTATTCTAGAAAAGGAAAAAGGAAACTCTAATAACTATTTGATTGTATTGTGCATGGTACCTGGAATATAGTAGGTATTTAATAAATATGTTTTTTGATTAATTGATCAAATTTGAAAGAAGTCTGTGCATTGACTTGAAACGATTTAAGATGAGGGAGGAGATGGAGTATGAAATATTATCTTTTTACTGAGTATATATCTATTATATTCTGTCCCTGGTGGTCAAGTTATATTGATTGTGGAGATGATTGTGCCATCATTCTTCAGTGGATAAGCTTAATATAATCCTAGAACAAGAAAATTTCTTTAAAAATCACCCAGTCAATCTTCAAGAACTACATCAATGCCATCCCAGCAAATCACAGGATTTAGAACTAAAAGGGACCATAGACATATGTGTGTATAATATATATATATATATGTATATATATATGTATATGTATATGTATATACATATACACATATATACACATGTCTACATTGTAAAGATGGGAAAGTGAAGGCGGTTTGTGATCTTCCATGATAGAGGAAATATTCTAACATGAAAGATCCATTATAGTATAAATATTTTTAAAAAGGAATTAATTTCTTTTATCCAAAGTTCCCCAGTTTAGGATATGAGCAATGGAAGAAATGTTAGGGAGTTTCAGGTCCCCTAATAGATGAAAAAAATGAGGGCCAGAGAGGTTATGGTTAGATACAGAGGCAGTCTTAGAGAGCCTTGCTTTCCTATCTCCCAGATCTGTTATCTGTCCAGCATAAATCTTGTTTACTTCTTTCTGACTACTTGCATGTTGGCAGTAGCATAAAATCATTTTTGAGTGATATCAATTGAGACTTGTAGATAGTAGGTTAAATATCACAGTTTTATTTGAAAAGATGTTTCTACTTTCAATGAGAATACTTATGAATCGATTGATGTTTAATTGGAATGAAAATTAGTGCCCATGTAATTTTACATAAGCCTGAAACCCATTTCTTTGGAAATAGAATGTATCACTATGTGAAGTAAAGTTGATAGTCCCATGGACTTTCATAACTAAGATGTTGAAAGGATAATTGATAGAAGAATTTTTGATTCAGCATTTTTATTAGTCAGGTTTTTTATTTATTTTCCTATTTCTAAACTTTTATCTTCACTCAAACATACTTTTAAAGTTCCAAGTAAAAGAGATATTTGAGGCAGCTAGATGGTTCAATGGATAGAGTGCTGAGCCTGGAGACAAGAAGATCTGAGTTCAAATGTGGCATCAGATACTTACTAGCTGTGTGACACTAGACAAGTCACTTAACCTCTTTTTGCCTTAATCCACTGGACAAGGAAATAGAAAACCATTCCAGGATCTTTTCCAAGAGAACCTCATGAATAGTATTTGTGGTCAATGGCCCACAGGGTCACAAAGAATCAGGCACAACTGAACAACAAAACAGATATTGTTTAATACTTCCAGTGTTTGCCAGTCATCATTTTTCCTAACTCTAATGTGACTTGATTCTATTGAAGCAACATAGAATAGAATGATTGCTGGTTTTCAAGTCAGGAAGACTAGGGTTCAGGTCTGACCTCAGACATTTAGTAGCTATGTGACCTTGGATAAGACACTTATTTTCTCTATGCCTTAGTTTGCTCATCTGAAAAAAGGGAATTTTGGACTTGATGACCTCTTAAGTCCTTCCTAGCTCTAAAACTATGATTATACAATACTATGACAAACCCATTCAAAAAATTTACTATTGAAAATTCTAGGTACTCCCAACCTCCCTCTTTGTTAAGCTAAATTTAGCTTCTGAAATCTTCTTATAACCAGCAGTTTCTAAAATATCTCAAAATGTAGTAGCTATCATTGAGAATTGTACATTTGGTACATCACCCATTGGTAAAAAAAAATTGTAAATTCAGTGTTTTATAAGTTTTATTGTCATGTCTTGCCTTTTTCATCACAGTTAACAGATATGAAATAGAGTGCCTCATAAAACTTTTTTATACCTTGCTGGAAGAAACAACTGAGAAACAAAGTAGCATTGGGATAGATCGTAATGCATTTCGAAACTTCCTGCATACTACATTTGGAATGACTGATGACATGATTATGGACAGGGGTAAGAGGACATAATCAATCCATATTGACCAAATTCTGCTGAAAACAAGGCTTCATTGGCTTTGGAGTTTGGGAGGTATTCTGTATAACAAAATTAGCATTTGATGTTTCAAATTTCACTTGAAAATAAGCTTAAGCTATATATGCAGAGACAAAAATATTTAAGCAAGCATTAAGAACAAGAAAAATTGTCATATCTAGTTTGCCTCATTTTATAGAAAAATCCTAAAGTTCATAAAATATGTTGTTTACATCATATTTCTATTTAATAAATACCTTATTTTCTACATAATTTGTTTTTAAGGAATTTTTGGCTTTTCTCTTCATCATAGAAAGCATACTGTATTCGTACATAAAAGATTGTGTACAAAAATTACAAATGAAATGTTATTTAATAGGTATAAACTCCAATTATGACTGTACAAACATCTATAGAGAAATTTGTTTTCTGTATATAACTAATTACCTCAAATTTCCAAAATTTTCATTTTCCCCACATACAGAGAAAATTCAAATGTAGAGAAAAAAAATTTTGTGCTTTCGTAGTCTCTGACAAAATATTACATTGAAAAATGTTCTAAAAAGAAGTTTTATATAAATCATTGTATTTGTATCAAATTCTCTTTGTAGTATTTCGTGCCTTTGACAAAGACAATGATGGAATTGTGAATGTAACAGAGTGGATTTCAGGACTATGTATATTCCTTCGAGGGAATTTGGAAGAAAGAACAAAATGTAAGGTTTCAGTGTTTGATTTAGAAATGGTTATTTTCTGGATTTTGTGCTTAAAATATGTAAAGATTGTTTTATTTGGAGTTATCCAAACTGTAGACAAGCAGAGGTTTCTGGTGACACTCATTTTCCTCATATACCTTTCCTTTGAAGTCTGAGTTTCTATCCTAGTTATTGTAATGAATTTTAATCAATGACATTGAGTGGGTAATGGACAATAAAAAGGAAAATCAAGAAATGACATTTTTATTTTATTTTAATTGCATGAAAATTAAGTGCATATTTGATATAGGTTCATGCTAATTATATATATGTATGCATGCATGTATGTATATATATATATATATATATATATATGTATGGATGGATGTTTAGAATTCTAATTATTTCATTGGATGAAAAACATTATGGCATAGTAAGTGAGGAAGAAGAGAAATATCAGTAGAGAATTCAATTAAATTTACACAATAAGTATTTATTAAAGAGGCTGAATGGCATAAGTGATGGAGAACCAGTTTTGGAGTCAGAGAGACCCAGATTTAAATCTCCCCTTTGATATATATTGTCTGCATGACCCTGGGCAAGTCATTTGACCTCCTAATGCCTCAGGCAACTCATTATTCTTGTTCAGTCCTGTCTGATTCTTTGTGACCCCATTTGGGGTTTTCTTGGCATAGTTACTGGAATGGTTTGCCATTTGCTTCTCCAGCTCATTTTCTACATGAAAAAACTGAAGCAAACATGGTTAAGTGACTTGCCCAGGGTCACACAGCTGGTAGGTATCTGAGGTGAGATTTGAACTCAGGTCCTCCTGACTCTAAGCCAGCACTCTATCCACTGCACCACCTAGCTATTACACTGTAAGTTAGAGAAGAGTGGACTATGTGTATTGATAGAAAGAGTTTTTACTCCAGAGAGTTCTCTCATTGATGAAATCACAGATCTTACTCCTCCCCCCAAAGAAGTTATTTTGTTAAGCCATATCACTTAGTGATTGTGTTCAAGATCAATATTTGACTCTGACTCTATGTAGTTTAATTTTCATGGTAAGGCATTATAAAATTAGCATTCGTTCAGGTGCTTTTTACTCATTTACTTATAGTTGATTTAAAAAAAATATTCAAAGATTGAGTCCAAACATTTATACATATCAGTTCATCATATATTAACTACATATCTTCTATGTGAGAGGTAAGGTAAAGTGGATCGAACACTTGCCTCAGAGGCAGGAAGACCTGGGTTGTTAAGTCCAGATTCTGATACATATTGACCATGTGATCCTGGGAAAGTCATGTATCTTCTCAGTTCACAGATTCAGTTCTCCTCCTTCCCCACTCTATTTCCAAACAATGGTGTTTGCACTGTGCTAGACACCATGGGGAATGATATAATGGCTCACATTTACATAGTGCTTTACAGTTTGAGAAATTTTCCTGAGAAAAAACCCACAAGATAGGTAAATGAAGCGCATATTATGATCTCCATTTAATAGTTGAGAAAGCCGAGAGATGTTAAATGACAAGCCAAGATCATATTGATAATAAATGATATAGCAGTAACTTCAGTTTAAGACTTGCAACATCTAAGTGCAGTACTCTTTTCATTTATACCACATTATTACAATAAATATATGTGTGTCACTACATATATGTGTATATATGTGCAAATCAATGCAGTTTCCCTTCTATATCCAGTCTTCATTCCTCCTCTAACAAGTATATGCTACTTCCAGAAATATTTATAGATATTTAAAATATGAATTTGCAATTACATAGAAGCAATCTGTCATAGTGAATTCATGAGGTAAGCACAAGAGCCCAGGGAGTGGCAGCACCATCACGCATAGACTACTAGTCTGCTTCTAGCCCAAACCCTCACAGCCATCATCCAGGGATGATGGCAACTCTTCTCCTATGGAGAAGGGACGAGCTGCCAATCAACTGCTACTCACAGGGTAGGCAAGCCAGCCTGGGTGAAGTAGCAAGGCACCTTGGGAGAGTCAGGAGGAAGCATTTGCCAGGCAAGCTACCACCATCTTTATTATTACCTCCTGTTGGACTGTAAAAAAGAAAGCCCAAGGCCCTGAACCAACAGCCTTGGAAACAGCAGTGTTCCCCAAACCTCAACCCTTGCTTTTAGCCCAGCCCCCGAAGCCATCACTAGGAGAAATTGTGGAGAAGGGGACCACATTCCTCATTATCACCAACAATAATTTCTGATAAACTGTTACCAAAAGGAATTAGGCATAAGAGCCCTAGGAGGGGAAAGATAACTCCTCCCCAATGACCCGTCCTGCTTTTAACCTGTCCCTCACATCTATCATATGGGGAGGTAATTCCATGGAAAAGGGGTCAGCCATCTCTGTCAAATGCCTACTAACTGCCACTCATATGGATGAAGCAGCAGGGCTCCCCGAGGAAAAACAAACAAACAAACCAGGAGGCAGTGTGCACCAGACTGACATTGTCCATCAGACCCTGATAGAGACAGCCAACCCAGGACCCTGTACCCAAGGACCTTAGGAATAGTAATGCCCAAAGCCATCACTCTGGGAAGCAACTGCTATAAAGATGCAACCTGGCAACTGTTCCTACAGGTACTATCACCACATTTCTGAAGATCTTGACGAAAGAGCTTGCCACCAAGCTCTTGGCACCGTAAAATAGTTAAGCACCAGAAACCCGTGTGATTTTACCAGTGGAAATGACATTAAAGAAGAGGCATTACCATCTGCTTTGTTATTGTACCCTAAGGACCATGAGAACTTGTTATCTGGATTGCAGCTGAGACCTTCATGCGCATTATCTGTAGAATTAGACTGAGAACAGACTGTGTTATTTATGTGCCTGCTGCTTTGAAAATAGTAAGCACTTAATAAATACTTCATTCATTCACTTAAAAATACCTGGGATCAACCTCCCTCTAATACTTATTAGCTATGTGACCCTGGGCAAGACATTTAACCCCATGTTACTCAAGTACCTCCCTAAGACTTATGAAATCATAGATTGGTTGTAATTTGCACTGGTACAAAGATCCTCACACTGTGGAAATTCTGAGAGCATATTGTTATTTACAGCTATTTGCTGCATATTAGTGTATTGTCACAGATAAAATAAACTTTATTTATCAGGATTTCAAGCTTTTATTTTAAGGTCTTTGCTTAACTCATTCATTAAGCAAATATTTCTAAGGCATCTATGTTGTGTGCAAAGACAGTGGTGCTAGATCTTAATATCAGAGACCCTACTTAGGACCTCCACAAAAGACAAAAAAGAAGGCATTTATTGCTATTTTGCAATCTAGGACATTTGTCATATTTTCATTTTTTGAAAAATCTTTTGCTTTTCTTTTTCTAAAGTAGTCCTAAAGCAAATTTCCAGGCTTATTCTTAGCAATATTTAAAGTAACTCCATAACACAATATAACTTCAAATTGTGTATTCTTTAACAAGGTAACTTGATACAATATACTTTAAATTTTTTTATGTTTTTTAAGACTACTAGCTAAACAAATTCTATCATCTTTTTTAATGTATCACATTTTTCTGATGATAGGAGGCTGAAATTAGAGCACTCATGATGTGATTCTAGTTTAAATCAGAAAGACAAATAAACTGAACCAAATTTGAAAAATTCATTTCCATAAGTATGGAATTAGTTATCTCTCATGTCAGTTCAACTTCTTTCATATCATATCATGAAACAAATAATGTTTCTATATTTAAAAATTCAGATGATTTGGTTTAATTCATTTCTTAATCACCTATCATGTTCTTGGTCTTGGGTTCAAAGGCCAAAATGAGACAGCCCTGCCTGTTTCCTTCTACTGGATGGAAACACCAACTATATAGACAGAGAAATACAAAATAGATGCAAAAAAAAAAAACTTCCGGGACAAAGGCACTAACAACTGGGGAGGAGCAGTTTAGGATAGACTTCCTTTAAGATATGACACTCAATCTGAACTTTGAAGGATGCTAGTAGGGTCCTTTGTGGTGAGGAGAGGTGTGCATTCCAGGCCATATATAAAGGCACAGAGATTAGAGATGAAAAGTAGTCTTTGGAGACAAGGAGGCAGGTCATTTAGGATGAGGGTAAAGGGCATAAAGGAGAATTAATTTGCCTGGGAAGACATACTGAATCCAGATTATGAAGGACTTTAAACGGAAAGAGTTTTTACCTTATCCTTGAGGTAAAAGGTAAATCATGTTTGTTTTATCTACAAAAGGTAAAAGGGATTTGCTTAATTAGTGTCTTGATGCCTTTAGTCTTTTGCTTTAAGAATATCAGTTTGGCAGCTGATAGGACAGATTGGTCAAGGAGAAAGACTTGAGGCAAATGGATGAGTTGAGAGGATGTTCATCCAGAAGAGGTGATGTGGGCCTGAACTAGGGTGGTAGCTGTGTGAGTGGAGAGAAGGGGATAGATGTGAGATTGTATTGTTGAGGTAGAATCAATTATTGGTAATTGATTGGATGTGGAAAGGTGAAGAGAGAGAGTTGAATCAAGGATTATTCCAATGAGAATTCAGGTGACTAGAAGGTAGTCCCCTCAACAAAAATAGGGAAGTTAAAATGAGAAAAGTTTGGGAGGAAATGCAATAAGTGCTTTTTTGGATGTATTAAATTTGAGATGATTCTCAGACATCCATTTGACAATATCCAGTAGGCAGTTATAGATAAAGGAAGGTGGAAGACAGACCAAACACATACGTAGTTCTACATAAATGCAATAATAAACTATTTCCTTTGACAGCTGATGAGCTCTCCAGGGGAGAAAACATTTAAAGAGAAGATTGAGGACAAATCCCTGAGGCACACTGTCAGGTTGGTCCAGAGAAAAGAGTGTTTATCATACACAGGAAACTGAGAAGGAGCAGTCAGCAAGTAGGAAGAAAAACAGTGGAGAGCAATGTCATGAAAACCTAGGAAGTAGAGAGTATGCAGGAGGAAGAAGGAATGGTCAAAAAGAGTGTCAGATACCAAAGAGAGGTCAAGAAGA